AGGGCCTTCCACTGGCTCCGGAGAACTGATGCCGATATCCTGGAGAACACACAGGACATACTTTTGATCAGTTTTGGATGCTGGTAAAATCACTAGTCCATTGTCCAAAACAGGATCTTAGGATAAGGTTTATATTAATGTATTATACTATTCAAAGGTTTGAACTTCGTAAGATTTTTAAAGCATTTAATTAATCAAAAGTGACACTAAAGACATTTATAATGTTACAAAGCTTTTTTATTTTTACATAAAGGCTATTCATTTGAAATTTCTATTCAAAGAATCCTGGAAAAAAAAAAAACAGTATCTACAAAAATATCAAAGCAACACAAATTATTATTCTTATCAAATAAATGTAGCCATGGTGAGCATAAAAGACTTTCCATCAGAAAGATTTAAAAATCTTACTAACTCATAGCAGATCACCATTTGTTAACACTTTTTCCTTCTTTTAAAACAATTTTGAAGGAGAGTTAATTTTTAAATATACAAATATCTAAATGTACATAACCACTAACATATATAGCCATAAAATCAGCAGGCATAACTGTAAAATAATTAGCTAAATGTTTAATTAAAATAGTTTTAAATTTAATCCTGCAGGAAATATCAACTACCCAAAAACATAAAAATAGAGGAAATAAATCAATTTGTTGTTAGATGATTTATTGCAATTTTTTATTTGAAGAATGTATTCATTTCATTAACCAGCAGCCAATCATACATTTTTTTTTACATAGTTTTTAAAATTAAAAATCAATGGCAAAGCAGTCATGATAAACGCAAAACTTAAAAAAAAACCTAGTAATCATTTTAGGCTTCCTGCATTACTCTAGCATTAACTATTATTGTCCATTATGACAGTAGTATCACCGTCTCAGCTCACAAGCAGGCAAAAATCCCATCCAACTTGTGCATGAGCTCGCATTCATACAAAGTCCTTTTAACAACCACTTATGACGTTACAAAAACCAGCTTGCAATCTTTACATTAAATGACTCAGCTTGTATTATAAGATTAAAACCTGACTAGTTTATACTATGTTCAATATTTAAAATAAATAAATAAAGGGATCACTTGACCAGTTAGTCAAGAATCAGATTTTGCAGCACAAATGAAATGTTGAAATTTGGATAGTAGACTACATGACTACATGTTACAACAAAAGCACTTAGTCTTTTGAACACAACAGCAGATATTATTAATGAAGCAGTCGGATCTGGATTCAGTGGCTAAAAAAATTGAATTATGTACCTTTGATATTAACAGTCATTAGGACATGTTATCCCATTTGCGGCGCCAGCTAAATTGCTCTGTTTCTCATTAAGACACTGTGGGGGAGGTTTCTAATCCATAACATAAGGACAGTGAATATTGCATTCTCCAAGGATATCACACACAAACAATATCCACACACACACACTCACAGAAAAGGCCATTACCTCTCTCCGGGAGCGATTCCTCTTGCTGCCTTTGCTCTCGCGGCTACTTTTTTTGGCTTTCTTCTTCTTTTTCACCTTTGGGGCATCATTTTCTGACAACTCCTCGTCCAGGTCATCCTCGTCTGTGGAACAAACACAAATCATTTAATAAATGATTTTGATTTCAATAAATGAAAAACTATTTTTTTAAATTTATTATTTAATTTATTTCAATTATTTAAAGTGTAATTATTTTTCCCTTGATACATTATTCTATCCCAGTCATTCGGATAAGAATTATTCTATAAATATTAATAAAAATAATTGCACTGAGAAATAGGCCTACCTACTTGTTTTAATATTGTAAACTCAAACATTAAGCCTGCATTTTTATGTGAAGATCTAGTCCATATATTCTGTATATTCACTATGAAATTTCTACTGATTTTCCTCATTGTCAGACCAGGAAATTACCATTTTAAAAGTAAAATAAATGAATTAAAAATAAAATAAAATTCATGAGCATGCTAACCCTGTAATTAGAAAAAGAGCTGCTCTGATTAATCCAATCAATCATCAACACAGTGCGTTGACATTTACATTTAATCTAATAATAGGACAGCAATAGATTAGTCATCTACAAATCTATTTTAGTCATTTGATCTGGGTCGGTTAAAAATCATCCTGTGCGCTATACAGTGAGAAGTGATGTCAATTAGACTGTGATCTCACTGTGATACAGGAAGTATTAAATGGCCGAAGAAAAATCACTGATACAAGTGACCTGAGCATTATAACCAGATACAATATTGTTGGTAACAGGATTGCAAACACTGAACTTAAGGACATGTAATTTTGTGTCACTTCTAACAGCTGCATATGGCACTGATTTTACTGTCTGTTTAGGGAAGTGACACTGCACTGTTGTTATTATTATTCCTCTGTCAGTCCTTGACTAAATTTTCCCATGGATGACAGTAATCTGATAAGATCTTAATGGACTTGCCTCGAATTTCATTATGAAAAACAATATACTGGCTTTTCTCCAGGTACCACAGTATATTAATATAGAAGCCTCTTTGAGTTGACTAACTGCACCATAGATACTAAATTAAGCACACACACAACACATATGAAATCATAATTTCCTTCCTGAAGTGGTTAAAATAAATCTTACTAATCATGTAAGACAGAAAGCAAGGCATAAATACACCGAGTATTTTGCTCCATTCAGCACTCTGAATGCCCGGGCAAAGCCCCCCTTTAACCATTTCCCTGAAAAAACTGGCGTCACATCCGATTCCTGCACACGCTGAAGTGCACAATCAAAATATTAAACGTAAAATCAACGTTTATAGTTATTTCACACGCAAAATAGCATTTTCGAGCTTGAAAGCTACAGGCCGACAGCGCGCGAACAGCCAGAGCGCGAGGACACAGAAAAACCTCACGCGTCAAACTCTCACGCGACTGTTACCGGTAGGCCGCTAAGCACCGATGCCGGTACAACAACATCATAACACATCTAATGTTACTATAAAACCATCAGTACTGCTCAATAAGCTCCCAAATTTGCTTAAATTTACGTTTTGTGCCATGTTTGACTAATATGAAGACATATTATTTGAGTGTGACGGTAAAAAAATAGCAGGTAAGTCGACGGTTAGCCGCGTAAAAAACCGGCAAAACAAAGCGCTGACTAAAAACCATCAAGGGGGTGATAAAATGCAAAGGTATCCAAATATATAAGATGAATTACTCATAAAGACGACAATTCTGGTTTACTATGTTTTATAAGAAAGGAAACATCTCGAATCAACCGCGCTTGTTGTTTCGTTAGCCGACTAGCCACTGCTTCGTCGAATAAATTAAGTTTCGCACCAATAAAGTCCAACTGAGAACATAAAATACGTCATGAATAATCCGTTTAAACATTTCGTGTATTTACATTTCATTCACATACACAGTAAACAACAGCGACTAATCTAGTGGAGTTGACCCGCATCAGTAAACGTAAATATTTTACCTTGCATCATAGAACGATGTTCAAAATCGTTTCTGTCGTCCCCACTGCCGGACATATTGTTGATTACACCAGCTAGAGAGGATTGTGAACACTTGTATGCCGATTTCGCCTCCTCTGGTGCTTTCCTGAAGCCGGGGGAGACAGAAAATAAAAGAACAATACAAACGGAAGTTAATAGTCACGGTAGCATGCTGATCATAGTGGTCACTCCATGCCAAGGAAACAAAATCCGAGAAGCGTGCAAATATATCTAACAATAGTGAACAAATATCATTTGGTTTAATGCAACTGAAAAAAAGGCATGCTTAAACTTTTAAAATACGCGGCTGAAACAAGTTATGGAGATTTAATAGGCAAATGGGGCATGATGTGAGTGAGGCATTAGCTAAGCAGGCTAGGGATGCTAACCTGCAAAGTCTCCATAACTTTTAAGATTCCTTTCATTCTACATGCATTAAAAGATGTCATAAATAAAAACATAATTAGAATAAATGTAATACAATGTTAGAAAGTGTACTCACACAACTTGACCTGTTCCCTTTTTCAAACAAACAGCTAATTCAATCTAAGATGTCCCCACGTTGTATAGGCTCCTTTTCATCAACACTTAAAATCAATTTGTAATATCCCTGTTTCTAATGAATATGTAGGGAAAGTGGATCCAGCCTATGTTTTTCCCAGCTGTAGGATGCACACAACGTCGCAGTTTCTCTTTCTGCCACTTACACCCTTTGCATAGACACAAAGAGATCAGGGGCCAGACATCCCATAATAATCTCCCTCCCCATATTCACACATACACATACATACAGACATTCACCCTTCCCCCCACCGCATAGTTACCTTGCAACATACAGACCATAATAACCCCCCCCAACAACCAAAGACAGACCCTCTCTTCCCCATTCCACCGTGCCCTTAGCAACAGTTGCCATGGAGACAGCCACCCCCTCCCACCCCAGTTAACATCCCATAATAATAAACATAGTCACTGACATCCCACAATAACCATAACTCCGAAAAAAGGATGAACGGGAACTGAGCCGGAAGAGAGAGAGAGAGAGGAAAAAAGTCGATTAGCAACTCCTCGCCAGCCTGCTTCCTTATTACAGTTCTGTATTTACAGTAGACATTTGTGAGCGTATAAAACGCCATATATGATCCAAACTTAAAGTTAGTGCTCTTCAGGCCAATGGCATTTTAGCATGCAACTGTTCTGCCCGCATGCAACTAACTTTGGTTTGGGGTCCAAAAATGAGCCCAAATGGCAGATAATACACTCTTAAAAACATAGGTTCTTCATTGGCACTGATGGTTCAATGAAGAATCTTTAACATCCATGGAACATTTCCATTACACAAAAGGTTATCTATAGTGGAAAAAGGTTCTTTAGATTTTTAAAATGTTCTTTACGCCAAGAAAAAAGTGGTTCTTCTAAGAACTCTTCACTGAAATGTTCTTTAGGTAACCAAAAATCGTTCTTCTATATGGCATCACTGTTAAAACCCAGTTTTGGAACCTTTATTTTTAAGAGTGCATATCTGGTTTTGGATTTTTAGTTTCAAGGCCATGTTCAAAGACGGTCTACCTCTCAAGTTCAAATCTCACATTGATAATGCTGCTGTATAAGTGTTTAAAATGGAATTGGCACCATTTGATTGAGGCCTTCAGAAGTTATAGATGGGACATTGGGACCCCGTTTGTCCTCCTCATATTGTCACCATAGCTAACCTTTCGCCATCTTCACCCCATTATCATCCACATGGATTTCTTTGCATGCAGAGAAGTAAAATGACAAACACTGACGGCTCTTGAGGCACATATCCATCACAATGCAGCACATATGTATGCACACATATATAGAAACAAATGTAATTTCTTGGGTGGGGGGATGGGGAGTGGTAGGCACCATATAGCATAATTACATATCAAAGAAATATAGAGGTGGTTGTCATGACAACCCACTCAGGCGCACCCCTCCTCCACACTCCAAAGCACCAAATATCCAGTAATAATGTCTCA